CCCAAGGGTCAGCAGAGCGGTAAAATACAAGAGCATAATACAGTCAGAAGCAAAAATATTTTTTAGCCCTCCGCTCCCCTCTACACGCTGTGTATGTGAGGTAAAATCAAAGAAAATAAAAGTGTCAAAAAAATAAAACAAAATAAAACAAAATAAAATAAAAGACGAGAACACCAACTCGCACCGGGGCCCGAATATCCACGAAGACAGTCTAAACGCGACGGCAAGGGGGGGGGGGGAGAGAGAGAAAATAACAAAGTAAAAATACTACATGTAGTCAGCTTCAATCCGCAACATGCCGTGCGACACGGTCGGCCTCTTCTCGTTTGCTCTCTTCCCTCGCTGTTTCCTTCCGCCCCCCTCCCGCGCCGTTGATTGGCGCCGAGTCTAGAGGAGGCCAACCTACAACACGAACATGCCGCTACAATTCTCCAAGTCACAACGAATATGTCGACGATATCGCTAGGCTTAGGCTAAAAAAACCTAACTCTTGCCCGTCTTCCGCTTCTTGGCGCCGCCCGTCTTAAACTTGCCGGGGAGGGGGGGGGGGCTTCTGGGCCTTGGGGATGGGATGCTTCAGTAAAGCGTGCTCGATCGTGGAATCCTTCGTGCAGCAGGATTTCTTGTGGCAAACATTGATCGCCGAGAGGGCTGTGAGCCACCTGATCAAAGCAGTTCAGTTGTTCGCGAGGGGGGGGGGAGTATTGCCAAAAGGCTTCATTAATGTTTGATGGAAAAAGGTAGTAAACTGGGGGCTCTGAAACAAAGCAGCTGTCTGTACGTTACATATGTTGGTAATTCAATGTCAGTCATTAGTATTTGTACTACTGTAAACACAGCACGTAGGTATTCACCTCAGGAGCATTATCGGACCATTTGGGAGAGACCATTGTCCGTTAGGATATTCTTGCGTTGTTCCTAGAGGTCGGATTAACCGCCTGCTAGCGTGACCGGGATATATATTGCAATGTCCCGTGTGTGTGCATCTTTTCGTGATAGCTTGGACGCTCGCCCCCCGTGGTGCTCGCCCCCACGCGATCACTCCTCTCTCTTTCCTCTTTCCTTACCTTTTGGCCAACTAAGCGCCACTTTCAACCAATCAATCTGGTCGTTCAACAAAGTGTACTTAACAGTCACTCTGTGAGCCTTTGCACACTGTCTCTACACAGTGCTTGCCACATCCAGGGATGCACCTACCACAAGGTTACATCCAAACTACATATTCGCCCAACCCGTTGCTCACCTTCCGGCGGTCGACATGGTGCAGCCGGGAACCAACGGGGCAGTAACCTTCGTCGTGACCTTCTGACCATCTGCCCCCTTCTTCCTCGACGTAGAGCCGTCCATAATCGCGGTGAGCTGGGCACGACCAGCAGTGCGGGTTCCTTGAAGATCATCGTAGCACTCCTTCCAGCACCGCATGCTCTCGATCGACACCTTGCCGTAGGTCATCCTGCTGCCGCCGTCTTTCCTCAACGCGGACACACTGGAGGCAAACTTGCGCAGTGGGGGGTCGTCGTCGTCGTCGTCGTCGTCGCCGCCGCCGCCCTCGCCGCGGCACTCCTCCTCCATATATATTCGCGTCTGCCCCTGCAAGTTGGAGAATCAATGCAAGTTGGAGGACAATATAGAGGTAAGGATTGGCGCATAAGTCTATTGTTATGAATATTAATACTATTATAAAGGTCTCAAAGCCGACAAGAAGGGCAATCGCAAGCAGTGGGAAATGTAGTCTGGTCAAGTGATTTAAGGTGTCTAGTGTCATGACTATAGCTGTCCTTCCGACGCAAAGTCAACGCCTGACCGCACGAAAACATATAAAGGTAAAGGTTCGACACCTACCGACCCTAACATTCCCACGCAACCAAACAAACGAAACCCATCAAAAGGGTCGGCTGTTACAATCGGTGGACCAAACATGGCGGGAGCACATGCAGGGCCGGGGCCCGCACCGACGCCGGTGCCCAAAGCGAGGTTTCCCAATGACTAAGAAAACAAACAAACGCGGTGGATCTGGATACTGCTCATATCACACGGCGAACAAACGAACCACCATGTAATGATTAGCGTAGCGCAGTGTTCTAGGGAACCGAGGATGGCGGCCCATCTTTTATGAAGACCTAGTCTCTCACCGCTTGCACCCTGGGCGTCTCCAGCCGACGGCTCCCCCGTAGAGGCGGCGTGGTCGTGATTGCCGTTGGCAGAGAGGCCATCTCCACCGCCGGCCACTGCGCGCTCTAGTCGACTGATGTCGGCCGCGTGCTCGGCCGCCTTGAGTCGGGCCTGGAGCAAACGAATTTCGGCGAGCTGCGACAGAGCTGCTACAAAAAAACGTGTAAGTGTGAGGGGGGTCGCACCTGAATAGCAGCGGAGGCGGCAGAGTTGGCGGCGTGCTTCTTGATCGCTTTTCGCTCGCTCCTAGCCTTCTGTTGCTTCTCGAGTGCCGCCATAGACGCCCTCCACGCTGCCTTCGGGCGTCCGACATCTGTCGTGCGGTGGCTGCTATCTCGGCTTTTTTCTTCTTGTCGTCCTTGATTCTCGCGGCTTTGACGGCGTGGTCTTGGTCCTTCTTGCTTTTTGAGGGCTTCTTCGCACGGCCCTCTCCTGCTGCCGCAGCCCCCCCCCCTCCCTCCGCCGTCGCCGAAGGCATGGCAGCCGCTGCTTTCCCAGCAGCAGCCGCGGCCACGGCGGCGGCTGCTTCTCCCCCGCCCGCCGCCATCACCGCCATCACAGCGGCAGCGACAGCAACTCCAACTGCCGCAGAGGACGCCCCCGCCGTCACCTCCGATGTGTCTGCTGCTGTAGACGGTGCCGTCTTCTCGCTCTTGTTGGCACCCAGCGCCGCACCCGCCACGGCGGTGATGCCGCCGTCAACTTGCGTCAGGTCCACGTTGCCTGCTGTCGCTGTCGATGCCGCCGCGCCTTTTGTGACGCGGCGCTTCGGCCTCGCGGCCACCGGCGCTGCCGCTGTCTTGTTGGCCTTCTTGATAGCACCCGGCGCGGCGCCCGCCACGGCGGTGACGCCGCCGTCATCTTGCGTCAGGTCGACGTCGCCTGCTGTCGCCGTCGATGCCGCCGCGCCATTTGTGGCGCGGCGCTTCGGCCACGAGGCCCCCGGCGCTGCCGCTCTCTTCTTGCCCGTCTTGGTAGCACCCGGCGCGGTCGGCTTCGCGGCCCCCGGAAGCCCCGGTGTGCCGCCGCGCTTCTCGGCAACTGCCGACCTCGTTGGCCTCTTAGGCGCCGGGGTCGCGGTTGAGGGGACCACTTCAGGTTCTTTTTCGTCGTCGGAGGAAGGCCCGCGGTGGTATCAAAGGTGTTGTCGGCGGGTGTAGTGTGCCTTTATCCCTTTACGTCTTGCTGGCGGTAAAATGTGCGAACCTAGGTGAACCAGCCGTACATACACGTGAGAATCGTTCTGGCTGCACAGGGGGTTCGTCTTATGTATGCGGTGCACTACACGTACGGGCTTTCCTGCCCGAGGATCGCCATATCGCAATTACCTTCGTCACGTCATGCGCCTGGAACTTGTACCTGAAGTTGCATATTTCTATGATGCAATGATGCGCTTGGGCAAGTATGTGCTCGTCCCATCGTCCCGTTTCTTGATGAGAGCTGCAGAACTGCTCCAAAATCAAAGTCATTTTTACCGCCTGGCTGTTAAAGGTGACTTGCACGACAGTCGTTTTACTTTTATGAAAGTCCCCAAACTGACTGTTAGTAATGTGCACCCACCTCACTTTTATAAGAGTCCGCTGACTGTTATAACAGTGTGTGAACTAACACCTCACTTTCATAAGGGTCAGCTGACAGTCGTTCCACTTTTATAAAAGTCCCCAAACTGACTGTTAGTAATGTGCACCCACCTCACTTTCATAAGAGTCAGCTGACTGCCATAACAGTGTGTGAGCTGACACCTCACTTTCATAAGAGTCAGCTGACTGCTAACAGTGAGTGAACTGACTGTCATTGAAATAACGATGACTGTTATAGGAGTCAGCCGACTGTTATAACAGTCAATTCACTGTTATAACAGTCAAATATTCACCTTTATAACAGTGAATCCATATATAAGATTGTGTGAGAGCCCGTCTTCGCACTCGACGCCGCGATCAAGTTTGGGTCTTCATTGTCTACCTTCCGAAGTCTTCGGCTACGTTCTCGAAGGCCAATGCCCCCGGTCCTGAATTCGACCTTTAGCGTTGTCCCAGCATCCATTGGTCCATGACCTCTTGAACCCTATTCCTTCTTTTAACATTCCGTACACTTCTATACCCTACTTATCCTTTGTTGCTTTTCTTAGAATTGTGTTCTTCTCTCTCGGCAAAAGCAGCAGAGGTCTTCTCCTTGAACCCGTTTAGACCCTCCGTATCCAGCGTATCGTCTTCGTCAATTTCTAACCCTTTCCATACGTCACCTACAACCTTGACCCACTCCGTGGGTTGTCTACCCCTCTTCTTGTCTGGAGAAGGAGTAGTCTAATGGGTCTTCCACAATGAACGTCTGGAGAAGGAGCTTTGACGTAAGGTGCGCTAAACGTGATCTTCATCCAATTCGGTCGATAACCCGCGACAGCTGAGCGATAAATGTCTGTTCAATAGTGACCGCGAACAAACCCAACGTAGTTTAGTGCATACCAGTCTACAACCTGCGTGTGGCACATGGAACACACCTAAGGAAATATTTTCGGCGCGTTTCAAGCACTGGCTTGCAACACAATTCCGCACATGTATGGCATACATGTTGTGTGGCAAACCTCGCGCAGACTGTCTAAAGCAGACGTACCCGAGACATCCTATCAAACGCTCGTCCACATCTAGAACATGACTGTCTCGGCGCTTGCCCCGAACGATTGAACAGCCACGTCCATAGTCGTTGTGTGCTTCAAACAAGACAAGCTTACGGCGAAATATTGGTATATGGCCGTTCACCTCACAACTAATGAACCCTTTTCGGCACAATCTACTTGTGCCTTTCTGAATCGGTGAAAGAGGACGATGTGGAGAGGACAGCACCGGCCATTGGGCGCGTGGGCCATCATTTTGGAAAAGCCCAACACGAAAGCAGGGGAAAAGAAAATAAGGCAAGTCAGCATAAGTTGTAGTGACACAAACAACAAAATTCTCACGTCAACGTCAACAACAAAACGGCCACGCTTTCCACTTCACAATTTTTAACCGGTAAGAAAAGTGTACCACAAAATCCCAATTTTTTCACACGTCACCCCACAGCAGACTAGCCGCTTCTCTGTGCACTGAAAAAATCTAGGCCTGTCAGAAACACCCCGGTCATGTAATTCACACCCTTCGTCTGATGGTGGATGGCGTCCGCCATCAAAAAAAGGGGTTTCGGCCAATGTTGGACCCAACAGTATTCCACCAATCAGAAGTCTCCGGGCCACCGGGCCACCAACCCTTTTCTCCTACCGAGGAAGTTACAACATGAACAAGCCTCACATATGTACACCGGTCCCCACCCAGAACACAACAGTGCTACGCTGACACGATGCGACATGCCACGTAGCCGCCGTCTGTTTATGCCATCTTCGGCGCTACACCAAGGAGCATGATCTCTCAACAAAGTACTGCTACAAAACAAACTTCGAGGAAGCTAATGCTTCCCGCTCTTGGAGAGGCCAACGCGTGATCCTTGCAGCACGTACATGCGTGCTGGTGTATTCGATACGACACGCTGCGATGGCCATTTCCGTCACCAAGCACGTAGAGCCATGTCGGCAGCCTGTGGTACATGGCGCGCTACGCTACATCTAATGCATTTGGAGAACAGCACCAGCAACCCTGTTGGGTCAAGGTTGCAAAGACACACCAAACGTTCCGGGGCAGTGGCCAAAGCCACCGGCGAAATTATCAAAACCCCCAACGGCGAGGACATGAGGTAATGTCAACCTGCCTCGCGCTCCTTGCCACTAAAGCGTGGTATTTCGCTCTCCACCGCGTTCCATGCCAACATGTTGACCAACGGGACTCATCTTTTTCCCGTACTCTCGTCCATGATGGCGGTCGGTTCAAGGCGCCGCCGTACGGAGCCCGTGGCTATCCAGGGAACGACGGCGCACCAGCAGGCTATCGTGCGAGGCCGTCGCGGCCGGTGCCTTCAGCCGGTCGTTGGACAGCACCGTCACCACGGGTATCAGGGGTGTCGCTACATCTTCAGAACTATCCCCACCGCCACCACCAATCGAAATGCCCGGCCGCTGCTCCGCTCCCCCTCCCCCCCCCTCTCCACATCCCAGTAGCGGATGCCCCTCGTTCGCCGACATGCTATCCGCCGTCGGCGCGCCTCCCGCGTCCATCAAGGCGTTCTCCAACGCGTCCGCGGATAGCGACAGGCAACGGGACGTAGCAGGGGACTCTCTCGCCGAAGCGGCGCCAAGAAGCCGGGCCCACCCGGTGCAGTTGCCGACGCTGCGAGACACCCCGTAGCAGGCGTACTGGGCCGCGGCGAAGCCCACGTAGGCGAGGAGGGAGAGCAGGCCCTCTGTCGGGAGCTGGCAGACCAAGAACCAGTTCACCCACAGAGCCAGTGCTTGCGGCCACGGGAAGAGCGGGGCTAGGAAGTTTCCGTCCGAGACGAGCGCGATAGGGTGAGACTGCCGCGCGGCGGGGGGGGGGGGGGGGGGGGGGGGGGGGGGCGTGCCCCTTTTTTGGTTGGGGGGGCCTTTTGGGCCTTTGCCCCCCGCCCCTTTTTTAAAGAAGGGGGGGGGGGGGGGGGGGGGGGGGAAACCGGGGGGGCCCCCCCCGGGAAAAATTTTGAGGGGGTTTTCCCCAAAAAAGTGGGGGTTTTCTTTTTTGGGGGGGGAAAAAA